ATATATATGTATATATATAAAACAATAATAATAATAATTCCATACTTCTATAGCGCATATATATATATAATATATAAATTATATATATATATATATATATGTATATATATAAAAATATATATACACCACTTTGTACAGATGCAGTCATGTTAAGAACATGGACTTATTATTCCATCGTGAAATTTATGCTGCTGTTAGTAAGTTCACTGCTTTTAACTGACTTTCGGCAAACTGGGTTTCGGCCAAATGGGATTCATTGTTTTTGAGTCAGCAAACTGGTACTCGGCAAACTGGGATTCGGCAAAGTGGTCTCGGCAATCTGGCATTCGGCAAACTGGATTTCGACCATCTGGCCTAGTTACCGTTTTTTCTAATTTCAATACAGTACTGGTATGTTTTTTCTTCATATTTTTTTACTTAATTTTACACCTAGGCTAACACATTCCATCCTTTATAACCATTTCAGCAAATAAAATGTGTTTTTTTTTAATTATTAATATGTACAGTTGTTGTGAGTGAAGTTAAATGCTGAGATTATAATCAGCTCTTAAACTTTTAAACTTATTTTATTTCTACAGATCCGTCAAGTGGCTTCATTTTGGAAGATATATCCAGTGCTCAGAGTGATGGTATTTTTCATTTTGTTTATAGAGGAAAGCATGATATTGAGGTGGTTATGCTTTAAAAGAAAATTATTACTATTTATTGTTATGATATCTGAAGAAGGAAATACCGAGGCCTCGATTCGAGTTTCCCTTATGCTTCTATTAGATTGCTGCTCTTGTCTGTCACATCAACGGATACAACGTACGCTGCCGTGCCAACACACAGTATGTAACAAGTGTATTGAGAGAAGTCGGCGTACTGGAATTCTCACTTGTGCCGAGTGTGGAACGTTGCACAAAATTCCAAAGGAGTGGACACGCCTGTTCCCTATTAATCTTCAACTTCAGCGAATTGCACAATGCTCTGATATGTATATGTCTAGGTCTGCTGTGGCAGAGAAACGAGAAGACGAGTCAGTAGTTATAAGTGGGGGAGGAGGTGAGGATGCTGCAAATTTAGAAGAGACGCCCATCGTAACTCTCCGAGAACGGCTTAAGGTACTTGAAACCTCTGAAGGAGTATATAGAGATATTTGCAAGAGAATTAACGAAGACATCAACAGGCTAGTTCAAAGTGGAGAAAAAGTAAAATCAACTGTTCGGGAAAGAATACAGGAATTGCGACGCCTCATTGAATACAGAGAGACAATTCTTTTTGATGAAATAAAAACAACAATCGACCAAGAAACAGAAATTTTGAGTACGAAGTTGCGGGAATTTCAAAAGGAAGTTATTGCAATTAGAGCGTTTTGTGTCGATGCTAGGGACCGCATTGCTTCCGAAGGTAGTTTAAATCTTGATGAGTTCCTCATAAAATCTTCGAAATGGATGGATGTTTTTCGCCAAGCTAAAACTTCGCGATCAAGAGTGCCAAAAGAAATAGTGTTCATCGATAGATCAGCACCCAAGAAAAGGCTAAAAGCTAATATCAATACATACGGAAAACTGACCATAGAATCAGCCATGACGAGGGACGATATCTCTACAGAAGATGTCATTTCAGAGGACAGTACACCAGCATCTACGCCTACTGAAGAATTGGACGAGCTAAGACAATCAACATTTTTACCAAGAACTAGGCAAAAAGACAAATTGTCCAAACTAGAAAATAGTAAGGAAATACGAATTGAGTTAGGTAACAGATCTAGGGTGTACTTAGAGGTTCCAAAGGCAAAGTTATTAAGTGCAGGGAATGGCCATTTTCGACACCACTCAATTGATAGTGGAATAGAAGAATTCACTTTTGGGGGATCGTCTGCTGATAGAAGATTCCACGTAGGTGAATCAAAAGAGCCGCATCATGATACGTCATCTGGTGCCAGAAGAAAATCTAGACCCATAAGGCAACAGGCCATATCTCCCATTGATTACTCAAAAAGTCGCATCAAATTAACAGTTGGTGGTTTCGGGAAGGAACGGAATTGTTTTAATGTGCCCAAAGGCCTTACGGCAGTCAAAGACGACATATTTGCCGTCGCTGACTGTGGAAATAATGCTGTAAAAATGTTTGACTCGTCTGCTGGGCGTGTTGTAGACATAATCAATTGTGAAGATATTATGAAGTTTTCTCTGCCCTCTGTTGTTGATGTGTGCACCTTTCAAAATACCAGCCTGTTAATAAGTATATCAAGAATGGGTAGTATTCTACATTACTCACGTAGGGGAAAGTTCTTAAATAGATTCAATGTATCCACTGCCGAGACATCCTCACCTGACATTTGGGGAATTGCGTCAGATAGCCATGACAATATTTACATTTGTGACAGAGCTAATGGTTGTGTACTACATTTTGATAAAGAAATGCAGAAGGTAAGAGACATGCGTTCTTATACAAAACGATCATGCCCATTTTATGTGGCAGTGGGTCCCGATAATCGTATTTATACTACCGATAGTACATCAAATACGATACTAATTTTTACTCCAGATGGACGTAAGTATGAAGAAATAAATTGTGAGAAACCTCCTTTAGGATTTCCAAAATTCAGGGCACTTGCCGGACTAGCTTTTGATACTAGTGGTCGTCTACTACTTGTCGACAGAGGTGAAGCTAAAATTATTGTTATGGAACCTAGGATGGGAAACAAATACATAGGCGTGGTCGGTAGTGATTCACATGCGTTCAACGTCGGTAAACCAGAAGGTGTAGCCGTTCTCCAAAACGGAACAGTCGTTGTATCAGAAACTTCACATCACAGGGCACTAATATTTTGAAGTAGATAGCAGGTCATTGTTCTACATGCAATTCCTCTAATGATAGCCCCTTCTAACATGAGCTAGTGTTGAACACCAACTTCAAAAAAATCACAAATAACTGATTTAAATGATAACTAGTGTTTAACCGAACCACCTGATAGTTTCCCAATACTTAATGACTGATAATGATACTGGTCATAAAACAAATACGGTATATAGTATACAGTACTAAAAAGTCCTCTAAAGTAACGCAAGTATTTCATATTAAATAATAAAGACCTTGTGTTTGCAATTACGTCATTTATGTTTACTTCAGCTAGTATAACAATCAAGTTGTTATGGAATAGTTTGATAATTTGATGTTACAGTGTGACACAAGAAATAAATACATTATACTAAAAATAGTCCTCGAAAATAAATAAATTAATATAAATTATTAGGCCTATTATATTTATATTTTATTTTCATTCGTATTAAGAAACAGCGATAACAACCGCCACTAACAGCTTAAAATACATACCGGTATATCATATATGGGCGTATATGATAATATTATTATTGTTAATAAATTATATATAGAGTAATATATGTTTAAATATTAAATAATAAATACCAAGTATTTCCGATTTTATAATTTGATTTGTATGTTTATTACAGTTATTAAACCATTAAGTTGTCATGGAATAGTTTGGTAATCCGATCTTATAGCCTAGTTAGACTATTTTGACGTTATTCGCTTTTATTAGATTTCATCCTACTTTTTTACAAAATTCATTATACATGTGTTGGAAGGTCATTTACCTAATGTAGTTGATACGGTATTGATTATGATTATCGTGTTGATTTTTTAAACGAGTCTTATAACTATACAATTAGGCCCTGCAATTGTGTTTGAATTTTTATACAGTACTAATTATTATAAATTGTTTAATCATGGTTTATTGTATTATTTTCAAATATTTGTTGAATGTTTTGTAGTAATTGTGTATGGTATTGTATGCTAATTGTTAATGGCGTTTATTCTGCTGTGTGGAATGATATAAAATATTATTTGCAACTTGTTTAATCATAAACGTTTATTGTATGTTTTCAAATATTTGTTGAATGTTCATTAATCAAATAATAAGTTGCTTTGAATATTTATATTAGGGAGCTTTCGATTTGCGCGACGTTGTAAACGTAGAGCGGATCCAGGCCTGAGCGGATCAAATCATCACCTGTGCGGGCCGTCCCTGGTTCTCTGATATTATCGGGCCGCCAAACTGGCGTCCTAGTGGCCCTATTCAAACCATCTACGCTGTTGCTTGCGCAGATAAGTTTATGTGATGACGTTATCATGTTGTCATGTAATCGACAGCTCCCTATTGATTTTTTAAAAATATTTTGATGTTAGAGTTAGATTATTCGTAAGCCTTATTCGATTTCATTATTGATAGATTTGTTTCTACATAGAATGGGTTTTTTCAGTTAAGGTGTCGGGCCGTTATTTCAATCTTTATCTATTAATGTATACTGGCTATTAGATCTTTGCATTAGAACTTAAGCTTACCAACAGCTGATCCATTTTGCAAAAAAACAATAAGCTATAAAATCATAATTGGTTTGGGGCCGAGTTGGCTTTGGGCCGAAGTGTCGTCTGGGGCCGAGTTGGTTTTGGTCCGAGTTGGTTTGAGCCGAATTGGTTTGTGCCGCTTTGGTTTTGGGCCGAAGTGACCAGCAAATGCTATTCGAATACACTAGTATTAATTCAGATGATCTTTAATTTGTAAAGTGATTTACTTGAAATTATTTTTTTCTGACCGAAATAGCTATTTCATTCTATCAATGAATAAATCCAATTGATCTAATGAAGAAATAATAAATCGTTCTTGTGATCGAGCTTCAGATTTGTGTACTGTGTGTCTTTACTTTTGAACGTGCTCTCGAAACTGAAAAATATGATAGTGTGTGTAACTTGGTCAGATGATGACTACACCATTAATCAATAATTCAATCAAGGGTTTTCATAACGCCAATGTCCACGGCAGTGCGACGTTCAGTGGTGGGTAGGTTAAGAGCAATTATAATTGAGTTAAGACGATGTAGGCCTATCTGATCTGTTGAACACACGCCTGCCTCTCAAAAATGGGGATGGGTCCTTCTCCCCCGTTCCCATTGCCACCACTGTTGAATACCATGGGATAGTCAAAGTGTCTGTGTGTTTGGTTAAATAATCTGAAAATTTTTAAACTTAGGGCCTAATATAAACAAAAAACAAAAAAAAAACAAAACCAAAAAAAAAACAAAAAAAAAACGGCAACTCCTTTTGACTAGAACGGCAATGGACCAAAACGGCAATAAGTCAAAACGTCAATAAACCAAATAAATAAATAAAACTTTAAACTACACATAAAATGGAGTTACAGCAATTTATATCATAGAAATAATAATAATAATAATAATAATAATAATAATAATACTATAACAATAATAATTCAGTAATAATAATAATAATAATAATAATAATAATAATAATAATAATAACAACAACAGGCATAATCATCATAACCTGTCTCTTATACACATCTTGACAGAGCTAATGGTTGTGTACTACATTTTGATAAAGAAATGCAGAAGGTAATAGAAGTATAAAAAAACGAAAAAAAATATTAATAATAATAATAAAAATAACAGGTATAATAACAACATACAAATTCAATAATAAAATGATTGGGGATTATAATAATAATAATAATAATAATAATAATAATAATAATAATAATAATAATAATAATAATAATAATAATACAACATACTGTACAAATTCAATAATAAAAGGTTTAGGGGGAAAACAATATAAAAGCAATAAACATCCAAATATTAAATTTACAATACAGACAAAATGAGACTTACGTCCCGCGCCTGGCGGCGCTTGCTCTCGGTATTGCTCCTTTGTATTGTCGTTTATTTTTCATTGCCATTTTGGTTTATTGCCGTTTTAGTGAAATTTTTTACACTTGCATTATTGATTTTGAAGTGTGCCCTCTAGAAATAAATTTATTCAACAGACAGTTTTGGGTTGGGATTCCCCACTGTTTGCTAGGGAGAGGCTGGATCACATGAAACCTGTTTGCAGCACCTAGGCCTAGTAGATTACAGTATTAACATTCAACAAAATGGAAAATTCACCAGAATTATTATCCTCATCGGACGTTCCAAATGGTGTTGTACAGCCGTTGTTGACAGATCTATACCAAATAACAATGGCGTATGCTTATTGGAAGGGCGAGAAACGCAACGCAGTCGCTGTCTTTGATCTGTACTTTCGAAGAAGTCCCTTCGCCGGGGAATTCACCATTTTCGCTGGCCTGGGAGATTGTTTAAAGTACCTACAGAAATTCAAGTTCTCTGAATCAGGTAGGTTCCATATTGTGTTTTCGCTTTTTCTATAAACTATAGGAATACAATAAGGTCCAATAATAATAGCAGGCCTAGGCCTAGCTACCCTTAGGTAGGCATAAATAATATTAATTAATAATACCTGGAAACTAATTCCTCCATGGTTGTTGTAACACCGCACCAACCAGCAAGTCTTTCTCTTTCGAACTCTGACATTCATAAAAAGTATATCTACAGATGACTGTTACAGTGTAATATAAAACAACAACTTTGTCCATATCAGATTTGCCATTTTTTATAAAATAACGAAATGTTGATGTTACTGTAAGTTAAGAATTTCCATTTTTGGTCGTCTTGCTTTTGCATGCCACCCCCAGATTTGTAAATAATATAATTATTATGAGATGTAGAAACATGTAATGCCTTGGGCTTTCAGTTGGAAGGTCGGGGGTTTGAGACCAATGCTTGTCACACCCTTGTGTCTTTTAGGTCAGACACTATCTGCATGGCAAATATAATTTGCCTCTCTTAATTCACCCAGAAGTTTAGATGGGTACCTGGTAGGAGGTGACTGATTACTTTTTAGACTCGTTAACACTCTGATCGCCAGGGATTTGAAAAAATAGTATCAGCCACCGCCAGACTTTTTAGCGAACTTTAACACTTTTCCGAAGCTTGTTGAGAGTGCGTATTGACATGTAATGAATATTACAAGACCTACAAACATCATAGCTTTACTGGTACCAAACACTTATTTTAGTCACAATCTGTGACTCGTAACAGTAAAATGAAAATTACTCGCTTTTGGAGATTTACGCAATTTCGCACAACAAAGCTGAGATAATCGCGATTTTGTGACAGTACATCATACCGCTACGCTCAATGTAAACAAACAAATAGTGAAATAATTTCAGTCCAGACTGAATATAATGTTCATATTGTTAGTACATGTCAGTAATTACCCCATCTATCGGATTCCGTTAAAAAACATGAAACATCGGAATCTCCATGTTTGGCAGTCAAGCAGTGCGTTACCAAACATGGAGATCCTTGTGTTTGGCGGGCAGATTGTTGAATGAGTAATGATAGATAACAATACATAACTCTCTCCAGAAAGCGGAGGAGATTGTACATTGATACATGATTGATTCTGTATCTAATGACCAGGGGAAAAGCACCTTGAGTAGTTAACTTCTATAATTGGATGTGTGCCCTATGTAAACCTTTAAATAAAATATTAATGATGATGACTCATTTTCCACCAGATATCACATATTTGAAATCAGTGTTGCCTTCGACGACAGAACCAGAGTTTTTTGAGTATCTTCAAAACCTAGACGCTTCGAAAATCACACTCTATGCAATTCCTGAAGGAACTGTTGTATTCCCGAGAATCCCTTTGTTGCGTGTAGAAGGACCCCTGCCTGTGGCCCAGCTTCTTGAGACCACACTCTTAACCCTGATTAACTACGCAAGGTAAACAAGAAACTATATTTGCAGAATTATTCCTTTGTAATTCGTAATTTCGATGCTTCTAACTTTCATCCATCGTTGTCATACAAATTATAATATTTTAAGTGCTTTGAGACTTCGGTATAAATCGCTATAAATCCGACTACTTTACATTACATTACTATTATAATATATTATATTAAATTTCACATGTGAAATTTAAGGACATAATTGTCTTTCATATAGTGTCTTGTTTTCATGAGAAAATAATTTTTTCATATATTGTACTTTCCAGATCATTGAAAACTAATCCAATGCTTGTATTACTACCGTACAGTATATAATAATTTGTTAAAAAATGTTCTCATTTCCTACAGTCTTGTGGCAACTAACGCAGCTCGATTTAAGTTGGCAGCGGGTGAGGAGAAATCCCTTCTGGAATTTGGTCTGCGAAGAGCACAGGGACCAGATGGCGGCTTGACAGCATCTAAATATTGCTACTTGGGAGGTTATTTATTTTAAATACATTTATTATACAGTGAACTTTAATGTAGCGTAATCTGGCAACTAGTTTTTGTGTCCTTGAGCAAGGCACTTTATCCATGTTTTATGGAAGCGGTTTGGTGCAGTGGAAATGGTTGGATTTCCCAACCTCAGGGTTGGTGTTTCATTCCTTCACTGTGCATTTCGCTTGTGTCCTTGAGCACTTTATCTACATTGCTTCAGTCTACCCAGCTGTATCAAAGGGTACCAGCAAATTTAATGGGAGTAACCTACGATGGACTAGCGTCCCACCAGTCGTGGCGCCAGTGGGGAGGGGGTGGGCATTTTTCCCCCGTCAGACAGGCCTGGACCCCCCCCCCCCTTCAACTGTTTTAATGGACCTAATGGATGGACCTTGTTGAATGGTGGCTGCTGTAGTGCAATGTCGAACCTGGTCAGTACACAGGGAGTCAATCCCCTACTCCTTTTGATAAAGTAGGTTATTGTTCATGCACATGTACTAATATCCACACAGAACCATCAGTTAACTTCCTATTCGATGGATGAGGTAATCGGAGCAAGGTGTCTTGAACACTGGCACTAGCAAGAAGGACACTCCAGTTTCAAACTCATTGTCCAATCCCATACTGCTGTGGCAACTGGCTAACTTCTTTTATTTCTACATAGGTTTTGACGGTACAAGTAATGTGCTAGCAGGGAAGCTTTATGGTATACCAGTCCGTGGAACTCATGCTCATGCCTTTGTCTCATCATTTACCAGCTTTGATGAACTGTCAGAAATTGTGAGTTGCTTAAGACTGGCATGTGCAAGAGTTGTCTGTATACTTTAAAGTGCTATGCTTTGTGGTAAGCAGGTAGCTTTCAGGTACACTGTGATATAGATCTTAACCTGGATCGGTGCCACTACAAATTATTAGACAACCTCACCATTTTGTATTGTAAATTTAATATGCTGACATTCCTGTCAGTTCAACAAGAACTTGGCCAGCAATGTAAATAACCAAGTGATATGCAAGAACACACATTTTTAAAAGTATGTCTACCCATGGCAGTCTATGTGTTAAAACAAGCCAATTATATATTTCCTTTCCTCTGTATTCATAATTATCTATGATTGGTCTATTAGGATCTCAAACCAACCAATGAAAATGGAGAAAAGAAAGATTTTATTGCTTTATGCAAGAAATGGTTATCACAGGTGGCCAGACATCTGGAGATAGTTGAAGAGCAGACCAACTCTAGTGAGCTAGCAGCTTTCATCTCCTATGCATCTGCATTTCCAACCGGTTTCCTAGCATTAGTTGATACCTATGATGTCTTCAAGTAAGTTTCTGATATCTTGATAAAATATAAAAATAAACAATTTTTTTTCTACAACTAAATCTGAATTAGGTAGGGCAAAATTACACCTATACATGTTTCTCCTGACGCAAATCCATTTATTGTCTATTATTCCATCACGACAATAACAATTACTATAAATCTGAATTGCATATAAAAGTTTGTGGAAGATGGTGACAGAGTTGGAATGAGGTAGTTTGTGGTGATTTTAAATCCAACACTGTTGTTTGGGATATGACTCCAGATGGACAACAGTAGAAGAATGACATCATGTTAACACATCTACCCCATGGAAAAGCTGATATTTAACAATATTTTATGGTCTTACATTTACTTAACATTAATAACCCAACACAATATCAGCATTTGTAATGTATTAAGATTCGTAGTTGATGCTCAATGAAATTTTTTTTTTTTTTCAGGAGTGGTATTCCTAATTTCTGTACAGTTGCTCTAGCTCTGAATGAGCTAGGCTACCGTTCCATTGGTATCCGTCTGGATAGTGGCGACCTTGCCTACCAGTCGAAACGCATTCGCTCTATATTCAAAAGCATAGGAAAAATGTAAGTCTGATATTCTGTACTTCATTGATACTTATGTATTAGTATAAAAAAATATAAGATCATGCTGTTTAGAGAAAGATTGTCAAAAGGTTTCAACTGACAGACTAATGATAGTCCACTGGGCATTCAGGTGAGATGAGTTTTAAGAAAATTGTTATCTCTCACATATTTTGTCTTTGCAGGTTCAAAGTTCCTTGGTTTGAAGATGTAACTATTGTTGCCAGTAACGACATCAATGAAGATACTCTGCATTCCCTCAACGAACAAGTAATTACATTTTTTTAAAAATAAATTTTCATATGTAAAACTATAAATATTTGGTTTTTTTTTCATCTGTTTGTTTAATACTGCTGTGTATGTAGCACATAGAGATGAATGCTATGAGCAATGTGGACATCTATTCATCATTCTGCTTAGACAATATTGATAATCCTTGATTTTTTATATAAAATTGTTATTTGTAATTAATCACTGAATTGACTAACTTTGCATATTTGTTTTGCACCTACAGTATTTTTTTTTGTGCCTAATATTATATTATAATTTCAAACATGTAGTGATAAATTTATTTCTTTACATCACTTTATTTTAGAAGGGCATGCCATCCTGCTCTTTGTCAATATATACATTTGATTACAGTAAAGTATTTTTATTGTTTGATACATTGATTGGGTGGTTGATTGATTGATTGATAGGTTAATTATTGGTTAATTTATTGAATATTGAAAGGATATTGAATATTACAATACTATCATTTTAACTTTAGAAGAAAATAAATATATTTTTTTGTTATAGATTGAAGATTTTAATGTATATTGTATATACCTACAGGTACATGAGATTGACTCCTTTGGTATAGGTACTCATCTGGTAACCTGTCAAAGGCAGCCTGCTCTAGGATGTGTCTATAAGGTAAAATATTTATATGAAATTACCACAGTTGATCAGTACTATAATTTTGATAATTAATAGTAAATAAGATTTGTGTAGTACTCAAACCCATTGAAAATGCTCTTTGGTATAAAAGATAGTAATGGGAACATATCAGAATGACTAACATTATAAAATGTCCAAAAACTAAATAAAAAATCAATGGAAAACCCAGCATATTAAACCAACACAAAAGTTCACCAAAATGAAGGGGGAATAATGGTAGTAGCATGTCACCCACTGCAGCTTATGATCTGTCTCTTATACACATCTAGATGTGTATAAGAGACAGAGACTGGCATGTGCAAGAGTTATAAGAGACAGGTGTATATTTTGTTATTTTACTATGTTAGAAAGAAGTTAAAGAATCTTCTCAATATATAACATGCATGTAGCATTAAATGATCGATTGCTTTTTATTGTCATCTAAAGCTTGTTGAGGTTGATGGGAAACCTAGAATTAAGCTGAGTCATGAAGTGGAGAAGGTGACAATACCAGGAAGGAAGCAGGTCTTTCGACTGTATAGCCATGATGGTAGGTGGACCCAGGGTTAGTGTGGTCAGATAGGTCACCATTTAAGAATTTAAATCTGTCTCATTTGGAAGATTATTTTTGATTTTTGTTAATCCTTTTTAAGCTACAAAAACAATAGTATGTCCTGCATTTATTTTTTCTCATAAAAGGTCTTTAAATTCTCTGCTTTGCTAAAGAAGTGAATAAAGAGATATAAAGATAATGCAAGATAACAGTTCTTATAACAAACATCTACCATTTTCATATAAAATGTGACAAAGACAAGCCTAACTAGTCACTTGTCGCAAATCGTGTTTCAGAGAAAATGGCCAAAACATGCTGGAAAATCAAATATATATATATATATACATCATGCTATGCTGTTATTTTCTCCATTTTCAATGTTAAAAGAACACTTTTTAAGGTTTTGATGATAGTTTCTGCATGAGAATTGCCCGAAATCATAAACTTTCAAGGATGATTTCTCATATTGTTCTTTAAACAGCTGTATGTTTAAAAGCTTGTAACTTTATAATAAAGGAAATGTTAAATTTAAATGATTTTTTTTTACCATTTTATACCTCTTATTTTACTTTTTAACCCTTACTTTTTAATACTTATTAATAACTCAAAATTGATTTTTGCGACGAATGACTGGTTTGGCTTGTATTTGCACACAAATAAAGTTTAGAGGACTAAATATAAAATAAAATGCCATTGCAAAAGCCGCACACTCGCGTATAAGGCGACCTGCGTATGAGACGACCCTCTGAATTTAAGATTTTTGGACGATTTTTTTGTACGTCGGGCGTATAAGACGACGCATCCCTCCAGTTTTATCGTCGGAATTTCTACTTTTTTCTGCTCTTTATGGTCTAGATACTGCATCTATCTGGCTAAAAACAGAGCCAAATGCAAGGCTAATCTTCCAATATAATACCATTTTATGAGTTTTGAAATATTTCATCAATTGACCCCCCCTGTTTTTCGATTGTAATTTGCTATTTTAAGCCTTGGCTTATACGCGAATACATAAGGTGTGTGATTTAGTTTTTTCAATGTTTTGTTTAGAAATGCCATACTATAAATTTGTTATTGTAATACAGTACAAGTATAGTTAGGTTTGTGTAATTCTTTGTATTTGTTTCTACCAAAATAAAGATATAATTCTAATTTAATTATTTAAAACTTTTCAGGTAAAGCTCTAATAGACTTACTACAACGTGTTTCAGAGCCTGCCCCAGAGGAAAACAAACGAGTGTTATGTAGGCATCCATTTAGCGTAAGTTACCAAAACAAATATTCATCACTCAATAACTTTAATATGATGTAATTTCAGTTTTCATCACAATCTTATGGAAGAATAATATTTTAATATGTGTAATATTATTAAGTTTTTGTGAATAAATAAAGTGACTACAGTATCTGTAATTATCTACTCATCCTTCTCCCTCAATGGCATAGCAGGGAGTCAAGGGGCTGTCTCTTATACACATCTAGATGTGTATAAGAGACAGTATACACGAAACATCATCCGACACCACAACAAGGTCCAAGCAAAGAGTAAATCCTTGCCAAGCCACTAGGGCCCATAGGGCTGGAGCGCATCTTCAGTTTCTGCAGCCTAGAGTGGATGACAGTATAATACAGTCCAACACAAGTTACCCCCTCGAGTTACGATCTCGAGGTTGGGCAACCAAACCATTCCCAAAGTGCGAAACTGCTTGCATAAATCCCTAATGTTGTCTTAAAAGTAAACACAATCCATATTAACCCCACCCCTTACCTAGTAGTCATGTTGTTTTGTCATTGCTTATATTTTTTGCTTTATGTTTGTCATCCAGGAATCTAAGCGAGCATATGTGAATCCATCAAGAGTTGAAAAACTGCATGTAGTCTTTTGGAAAGATGGCAAGGTAAGATGGCAATTGGAGAACTTAGTGTTAGGGCGACACTTTTTTAATATCGTTAGAGGAGAAATATAGAAATAAAATTTTGTTTTCTTATTTAGGGCATATAATTTTACCAAGAACATCCAGATGGAGGAGAAAATAAAGATAAAATTTTATTGTTGAATGTAAACAGTGTAGTAATGGGATGGTTAAATAAGTTAAATTTATATAATTAGCATGAAATATACATATCCTATTTTTGAAGATTTCAGGGCAGCAGGCGTAATAAAAGTAAAGAAAATCATTTATTTTCTTCTGAAATTTCCATTTTTTCGTGCCAGCGTTTGCGCTAATTGGCCAAAATATATATATATATTATTGGTAGGCGGTAGGTTCACTAAACAATGTATAAAAAATTTTGTCTAATGTTCAGGCCTATAAACATACATGCTATTGTGACAAAAGCAGAGCGTTGACAAAAAAGTTAAAATGATTTTCACTAAAAAAGATCGAAAACCTAATAGATAATTGTATGATACACAATCATATACCAATTAATATTGTACATATTTTATAATAATACTGTACATAATAAAGAACATATTTTATAATTATATGGTACATAATAAAAAAAGTTAACAAACATGTATTTCCAGATTGCTAAACCCTTGCGATCACTACAAGAAGTGCGTGCAGATACTATTGCATCTATCAAGTCTTTACGGGATGACCACAAGAGGGCGCTAAATCCAACACCTTATAAAGTGGGTTTTTTTTTTTCTTAAAGGAAATTTTTTTGAATTATGGAGCTCTATGATGCTGCCTTTCTTTTAGAAACACTTTAAAACAGTGCACCGGCAAATCCATGATTTCAAGTAGGGTGGCGAGGAGTGGCAAAGAGCTGTCTCTTACAGAGGGTGCGGCCTGAATTATACTTAATGGATAAATTGCCTTTCTCAAGTGTAAACACCTAGAAAATATTAGTCAGCCCCTTGTGCTACTTTGGCGAGTTTAACAATTTTTAGATTCAAAATTTTTGTAGAGCTGTGTTATCCCTTCTTGATAGGCCACTATATATTTGGATTAAATAATAAGATAAAATGAGGGTAAAAGATATTCTACTTGTTGGGATAACTTTATTTTAAATCTTTTTCAGGAATTGTTTCAAGTGAATAAAGTAAAAGATTTCATAGAATAAATTAATAAGATGAGATTTTAACATGTTGGACATGAACTGGTGTTCCTGGCAGGGAACGTGTTAAATCGTTAACAGAATGTAATTTTCTTTTTTCTCAATATATCAATAGGTATCGGTGACTGACGACCTGTATCGTTTTCTTCATAAACTTTGGTTGGACAACGCCCCCATCGGAGAACTTTCTTAGACATACTGTTCCCGTCTCAGTTTTAGAGCAGGAGATCGCTGCTTCTGAATGTCAGAATGATTTTTGCTGATTAATAGTCTGTCAAAAAGGGTTGGTGGGTGGGAGGTTGGAGATGTGGTATATACACTGTTTGCGATTGAACAATGCAAGTGAGTGCCTTTTACATTTAACACCAAATATTAATTTATGGAATGGTAGATATATAAAACAACAACCTCCTTTATTTTCTTTATATAGATAATTTATAACATTTTCGTTAGATAAATAAATGTATAATGATTCAAATGTCCATTTTCTGTATGTTCATAGATATTGCTAAAATACAGAGCTTTCACATGAATTCCGTCTAATAACATTCATTTAAAATTATGAGTGCAATATGAATGTTGAAAATCAATCCTCCATTTGGTAAAATACGTGCAATGTGCCAATGGGTATGATATGACATCATTATGCCCATATAATATGGTTAATTCACTAAAAAGATTTTCCCATATATGGGCAAGTAACAAAAAAGTCTTGTTACATAAAATGAGGGATGTCGTGGCGAAATGTTTAAGTTGTTGCACAGCACAATATTAAGTAAATAAGCTGTAAAATATGGGAGCTCAAAAAATTGCCTAAAAATCCAAATTTGTTTTTCATTATAAGATCAACAATTTAATGTTAATCATTTCCCAAAGTATTAGTTCTGGAAATGTCATACAGACGCAGGACTTTTAAAAAACCCCCCTCCTAACAATAATGGACTGCTATTTGGAAATTTTTGCAAAGCTCCCAGAAAATGACAGGCATTTGTAGAGGTACGTGACTATGTGTGGGTTGTGGGAAATGCATGTATTCCTAGCCCCGCCATGACCACGTCTAAATTGATTGGTCAGTTGTTAAGCTTGATTAATACATGGCAGTTTTGTTCCAGCAATTGCTATTTTCCCTAGCAGAAACAAATAGATATATAATGATCACCAGATCGAACATGGAATGCATGATCATTGTTTTAGGATTCATTGTTGTATTTGAAGAATGGCAACTTGTACACTTAAATAGCCCCTAATCTGGATCTGTAACAAATAGGGGCATGTACACCTGTGTTTCCAGTGAGTTTAGCCACTTAAAGTCCTTGTTCTGTTTCTGTAACACAATGTGGGCTGTATATAATATGGCTTAAATGTTTTATAATCCCAATAAAACATTGTTATTGTATTGGTATGAATATGTAATGTAGATTTATAATACTGTATATGAATTGAGGGAAAATATTGACACCTCAAAGGAGACATCATAGCATGTTAGACCTTTTTACCATCGGTATTTGGTGATTTGTTTATTCAGTGTCTCAAGCTAGGATGTATTAGGTGTAAAAAAATACAGTAGTTTATAAACTTGTATACTGTTTTAAACCAGAATATCCAAATGATCGTATAAGAATACAGAGGAAAATATAAATATAAGGATGTTTTAGAATGTTATCAATACAATAAACTGGATAGATATATTATGATGAATGTTTTTTATGCAACAATAATGATATTACTTTAATAATGTAATACAGTAATTACTTTTTCATATATGCAATAAATATATAATACCAGATAACATTTTTGTGCCAGATTTCTTTTCATGTATATGCTTTCCTAATTGTTGAATTACAATAGCAATTGTCCAGATTGTTCACACACTCTTGCAAACATCTCCTGGAAACTAACCTCTGTAAATTTAGAACATGTTTTTACTACTATATACCACTGTATTATTGTATGAAGTTCGTGGGCATTATAGTATGCACCAAAATATAAGGTGTTTTCTTAAACCTGATTAATTTTAATCAATTTTTAAAATTTGAAGGGTCAATTTGGATAAAAACAATTTGTAGAAATATAATACTGTAATAGGCCTAATACAACAGAACAGAAAAATATTTTGAATGAAGCATTTTTTCCCAATGTACCAAAAATCATTTAGTACAATAATAACTATGAAACAAATCATAATCAAATTACAAATATCAACAAGACATCTTGGAAGTTGCATTTTGCATATTTATTAATCAGTCACTTCACACTCCACTGATTAATATAAAACAAAAGTAAGTTTAAATACTGTATTTTCAAGAGTGAAATAATGTTCTAACATGCATAGGTGATTTTTGAAAACACATTCATACACACAACAGTGATGTTTGTAACTGTTTTGAAATGTAAAACTGGAATAAAATCAGAAATAAAAAAAACTTTGTTGACCTGAACAAACCGTAAGTATAAATAGCATAAGCACTGCTAGGTGGGAAGACGTAAAACTATCAAAAAGTAATAGGTGTGGGAAGACACCCTTAAGTTAACTTTGCAGGACACTTAAATCAGGGGACCCAGCTGCAATTTTGGTATGTAGCATTATGGTAGGGTAAAATCAAAGATAATAAACTGTTAACTGAAAATAAAAAGCACAGTGCGTTGTCTGCTTCACACACGTACCCTGGTCATTGGATAAAAAAAACACAAACACATTACCTGATGGAGAATTCAATGTTGCAGTTAGTGATAATAATAATAATCATAAATAATCATAATAATAATAAATAAGAATGTGAACAGATAAGTGCAAACACTGTGGCAACCACTCCCACATAAATGAATTATAAGTGTCACTTATATTTATAATTTGTGCCATTATTTTAAAGCTGTTGAATTTTAGAACTGTGGACTTATTTCTATTCAATAGTAGTTAGCACCAATATTCATCTCATGATCATCGTGCATAAAGCATAGAGGTATGGTGTATTATTAAGAATAATTTTTTTATGCACTATAAGAAAATTAGTGTACATATATCATATATAGTATTTACTGGAAACATTGTCGCATGCATTGAAAGGTACGTATATACTGTACTATACAAATAAAAACAAAATTCAAACAAACAGTATACAGACCTACTACAATTTGAATAGATGTTTTTGAACGATTAATAAAATTTATCATGAATGTACTCTAGAATTTTACTAGAACATGCTATGTGGCTATTTGGTATGCTAACACGTTGCAGTGTATCCTATCAGAATGGCACGATTCTTACATGTAGGCCTACTTAAGCCAGATACATGATGATATGTAGGAACTGTTATTGACGACAAAATATTTATGGCATATAAATAACAAAAAATAATCTCTTAAAAAAATTAAGTTTTCGACCTTTCTGCACAACTAGATGGGTGTGTCTGACTGTGACCTCAGCATACTGTATTTAAGCAAATATACAAAAGTTACACATGGTCTATGAAGCGGCAGTAAACATGATATTTGCGCAAAATTAAATGCTTATACGGCTAAAGCAATACTTTTGTTGGAATATGTATGCATACATATTTGTAATTCTTTGGTATTAACAGTTAATGTAAATATTTTTTCTGGCGCAATCTATATAACAGTTTCTAAAAATCATATTTCTGGCAAGGAGGCCTACAGTGCAGATGTAAACATGATAAAAATGTGATGAAAGCATTGTTTACTATTGAATAATCTGTCAATTTACTTTTTCTTTGGCATTTGCATTTACATAATGATATATTTAAATTCCCAAATCCTACAAAATGGAAAGTAATAATGAAATTATACTGTGCTTTTTGCCAATGGACAAACCAACACAAACTGCAGCCTTCTCCGCTCCCAGTGAAGTACCGGTATTGTCCTGATTGTGCACAACTAAATGTCACAACATCCTACCAGGCAACCATTTATACTACTGGATGGAGAAACAAGTGCAAGTAAAGTGCTTTGCCCAAGGACACAAGCGAAATGCACTGTGAGGTGTTCGAAAACTCCCAACCTTAAGGTTGAGAGTTCAAACCTTATATTAACCACTGTGCCACCCTGGAAGGAATGTGCAAAAAACGATACAAATAATATTTGTATATTTTATATGATAAAGGTTAATGCAAAATAATTTTATAAAAAGGGCTAAAATAATATAATATTTACTGTAACTCGTTTAACTATAGCATTAATAGGTACTACTACTAGGCCTACTGTGCATTAATAAACAAATAAATACCACAATAATATGAATTTACAATTATAATGAATATATTGTTTATTGATTTTTTCCTTGAGTCATCAGAGCTAAGTGAAAACTTTTTTGGTATCTCGTAACTTAAACAAAAAGTATAAAATAAATTTGGTGGTTAAAATATTGCGCTTTATTTTTTAAGCAAGTTCATCTAAAATTTCTTCTGCCGAACCTTCCGTGGAACTGGCAAGCAAAGTTCTGCTATACGTGGCGTTGCACGGGCATTTCGTGCAGCAGGAGACACTCTGTATGGATCAAAATTGTCTAGTTTTCCACGACTTTTTGGACGTGCTAACTGTTGTATGCGTAGTGTTGCGATGGCCTTGAGGGCTGGGTCTTCCACAGGCCATTGGACAGTGCGTGCATACTGGTACGAAGGGTGGGTCTGGCGTGACTCAGCTAGACGTTCTACCCAAGGACTGGCCTGAGCTTTCTTTGCAGCTGTAGATATTTCTGGATCCCACTTGTATGAGTCGAACTCCCAGCTTTCTTTGATCTTTAATGGATGGTAAACCTTTTCTTGCGCCAGTTGTTCTATGCGTGCACTCGGCTCAGCTTTTTGTGCGGCTTTTGATACCTGTGTCGTGACTACACGCTCTGGTACGTACTCTCGGTGAACTGATTTTGGTAAACTCAGACTTTCTATTGTACTGGTAGCTACATATTGTAGTGCAGATTTTCTTACTGGCCATATTGGATATGATCTTCAATAAAGAAAAAAACATAACATACAGTATCTTATTAATCATTCATTTCAAATATTTTAAATATTTATTATAATTATACTTTTATTGGATGGCCAATTAAATCGTCAGAGAGGTAGCCAATCATTTTGTCACACTGCTTTGAAAAGGCATTTACAGTCTAACATCTCAAAGCACCTAGAATTTGCTTACCTCACAACATGTTGGGATCTGAGGAGATTGTTTATCGTTGTATATCTGAACTTATATTATCAAATTATACATACCTATCACACTCATAGCCTGGGTTTGCAACCTTATGACCACACAGCTGTTCTTGTCGTGGTGTAAGCACTACATTCAAATGAGTGAAAAATTGTAAAGTTATATTTCATTTCATTTCATTTATTTGTCTCTAACAATTAGAATGTACATAAATATAAACGGCAAGGAACAATCACAAAAGTACAAAAAACAGAGACAGGACACTCCAAAAGTAAAATCAATCACTGTCGAGTGGAGGCCCTTTACAAGAAAAACACAATACATACAATATAAAATTCTTCAGAAAGATAAAAAAATCAAAAGATAAATATTGAAAAATAGAAAAATGAGTAAAAATCAATAAATGAAAAAATTTTATTTAAAAGTTATTTGAGATATAAAAATATTCAGATAAGCATTAAAATTTATCTTAAAATATTCCAATGTATAAATGTCAAACAAATCATTTAAAATTGCATTGCACTTAAAATATATAAAACAAGATTAATTATAATTATTAAAAAGAATGGTTAAAAATTTAAAATTTAATTTAATAATTAAGAGTTAGCATAATGTTTATATATTAAATATTAAATAAATGATAACAATAACATGGAAATACTGTATTAATATTGTACATGTACAATAACATCAACAGTAACAGTACAAATACCAACAACAAAGTATATGTAATTGAATGATAATAATAAATTGAAATATTAAGTATTAAGTATATTATGTTATAAAAATATTATTTTGTCACTGGCGCTTTCTCCATACCCATGTTACTACCATGTGACTGGTGGTTGTAATTGTACAGTATACAGCGTTCGATTTCCAGCATTTTTTGTGTGTAGCAAATTATAATGCTATGCACTTTTTGTTTTGTGTAGAAATCCAAAATTGTGCATAGCATTTTTTTCTGCAGTGATAATGAATGATTATTAAAGAAAAGAAATGACACTTTTCAATAAGAAAATCACAGTGATGCATCTTTATTTTCTAACACTAAAATGTGAGTTAACATTGTAAACACAGGAGAGAAGCCCCACTCATACTTAAACCAGCTGCATGAACAACAACATTGTATGTGTGCACTCGAAGTAAACAAGAATATTGCGTTATTTTTGGCCAAAAACATTGATAACAACTTGACTTTGACTGTTTTTAAACAATTTTTGGGACTTTTTTGTGCACCAAGCCTCTTAGTTTTTACAGCCAGGCCTTGCTGAAGACTGAATCGGTAATTCTAGGCAAATAATTACGTCAAATTTTATTGTGATGCATTTGTGGAAGCGCTTCGCAATCAGTTTAAAAAGCATCACATTTTGCGATGCAATACTGGGTAAATCGAACACTGAGTATGTTGTAATGTAAAATAGCGAAATCACTAACAAACACTTGGCTAATGATTACCTAGCAACGAATTAATTGCGGTTACTTACCAAACACAGTGGTTCCATCTGGCCCAGGCTTTAAGGGCAATTTGTCAATAAAGTAAACAGATTGTCTATAATGATAGTTTTAGAAAACACATGGTCTTATTAATCAACCTAACATTTTAAGGCAATTATTCACAAATAATAATTAAGTGTAATACTTTAGTAGCAGCAGTGGTGGTGCCAGCAGCGGACATGACTCGCTCAACCAAAACAAGAATTGTATTAATTTTCCTTAAACTTTTGAAATGTTCTTTTGATATGTCTAAGAACAGTTTTAAATCGCTAGGGGTGGCACCAGTGGGGTGGCCGGGAGGACAAGGCCCCATCGGGAAGAGCTGCTCCCCCATCGATTTGTCTAAGAAAAGAAAAAAACTTATATATGCATTTTTTACATATTAGTAAGCTCTTGACTTGATTACAGTCAGAAGTTAAATGAGCCTTTGAAAACAGAAATTGTCATATTTTCTGGGGGATTTGTCCAATGTGGATCAGTCCAATATGGATCACTTGAGTGATTTTGAGCGATACCTGATCACGCCCGCTTACGCTTTCGTCAGGGACATCGGAACTCCCCGTCAGGCAAAATTCTGATGCCACCCCTAAAAATCACACAGAATTAAAAAATGGTTTAGAAAATGTGCTTTTATTGTCATAGTAAATTTTTAATTTTTCTATTTACTTTAATTTCACCCTCTTTCAGAAGATGTTTTAAATTCAGGCTCAGGAGGGGAAAAAATGCTTTTTCTAAGACACAAAAAGCATATTTGATGGAAAATGGTTAATTAGATACCATATTTTTTTTAATTTTTAAAAACTGTGGAAAAAAGTTTGGTTATTCCCCTTTTTCACCCAGTTTTAAATATTTCAAAAATCTGTGTCTCAATAACATCCAATATACTTTTTGTGTCTTATAAAAATCAGTTGTGACATATGTGACAAAGACTAGCCAAACCAGTCCACTCATCGCAATCATGTTTCAGGGAAAATGGCCAAAACATGCTGGAATGTCAAATTTAAAAAAATCTATTTTGTTGCACTAAACTAACCTTTATATATGTATACATCATGCTATGCTGTTATTTCCCCAATTTTCAATGTTAAAACTACACTTTTTATTAAAGGAATTGATGATAGTTTCTGCATGAGAAATGCCCGAAATCATAAACTTTGAAGGCTGATTTCTCATATGGTCTTTAAACAGCTGTATGTTTAAACGCATAAAACTTCATAAGGAATTGAATTATTTTGTTACCATTTTATAGCTCTTATTTTACTCTTTAACCCTGTATTACCTCAAAATCGATTTTTGCGACGAGTGACTGGTTTGGCTTGTCTTTGCCACATATCAAGAATTGTTTTTCCTCCAGAGACTGACTGCAAGTTGACTATCATTCTAAAACAAATGTTTAGAGGCTTTCCATGTTTGAATAATACAGACGGATAGACCTTCTGTAGGGCAAATGCGAAACCTTATTCGCGCCACCTAGGTAGGGAACTGGCATTGTGTCAGGGCAGAGGCGGATGATTGACACTTTGAGACCTAGCGCTGTTTTGCCACCACACCTTATTATTGTAAAGTCATCATGCTTTTTGTTTTATAATTTTATGTAAAGTGCAAAGAAGCACTGCGCAAAATAGTAAATTACTTTATTATTATTATTATTTAAGGGACATATACTGCTATACAAGTTTTTAAAATTGGGTTTGATTTTTTTTTTTTATGAAAGGAGGACAATGTGGGGTCCTTTGGGCAGTGACATATCTAGGAGTCCTGCAATGGGGCTGATGGGGGAGGGGGAGCACAAAGGTGGAGTGGGTGGATTGATGAGAGCTTATAAGGAAAAAGGGAATAAAAGTATAATGTAACAATAATAACAATAATAATAATATTAATAATAAAAATCGTAATATACATATCAGCAAATACAATAAACAGTAATACAAAAATTATATATATAGGCCTACAGTATATATTGGCTGGCAATTGCTTCGGCCTCGCCAGAAAATCTGTTCTTCTCTCTAAAAAAGGAAGGGAACATATTTTGACAATAAAAACGATTAATAATACAATTGCTGGTTACTAAATATTTTATTAAAATGCGTCATTAACCTACCTCTGGCTACAGTTGCCATTTAAATCGTTTTAGTTTAATATTAACTTTTTAAAATAACAATATTAACATTCTGTCCTCTCCCAGCCCACACAAATCACATGTAATCTTCGCTTTGTTGACACTTCGTTGTTGCGATGGAGAAGAATGAATGGTTGTTAGGAACGCTAGGTACAAGCGCAGCGCACTTCCGCTTTTATTTTGTAAATAGCGCCCTCAACTACATATATATTTTTGTACTTTTTTCCAGGATTGGAGTCAGTTTTGTAGAGGTGTGACAGCAGAGTGTGTCGTTATTTTCTATTTAGTACTGTGGCCCCCCAACGTTGAAGGGTTTCTGCAATATAAATGGAACTCGTTTGGGCATGGAATCACCCAGAGAGATCAGAAGGTCATGCTCATATTTGGTTCTGTGTTTATACAGTAATCGGAATAAGCGGGTTTCTTGCAAACCTCTTGGTGCTCATTGTATTCAAACACCTCAAGTTATCTTCAACTGACCGAAACAAAGTGACTACTACGTTGATAATCCATCAATCCATTATTGACCTGATTTCAAGTATAGTATTTCTTCCCTTTTACACAATTCCCGAGGGGTGGCTGATCCTGGACGATTGGGCAGGCAGCATATTTTGCAAATGTCGGTCAATATTCTGGATTTTGGCGGGATCTTCCACTGGCAATATAGTTTTAATCGCCATCGAACGATACTTTGCGATCGTACATCCAATCAAACATTACGTACATTTTAGGAAAGGAACTGTTTTGAAGATTTTGCCACATGTGTACATATACGGAATCGTAAGCTGTGTACATTTAGCGTTTATTGCTGACCTGAACGAATTCTACTATTGTGAATATTACTGGAATAAAATCCAAATTCAGAAACTTGGCGGGATTCACGCTCTCTTATTTATGTATATACTTCCAACTGTTATTATTGTATTCGCTTACGGAAAAATTGTTTACAAACTGTATGTAAAAAGACTCCGGGGGCCTAGATGTTTTAACAATCGACGAGATGAAAACCAGAGAAATATCATTGTTACGTTCATTATTGTTTCAATTGCGTACATGGTGTGCTGGACTCCGGATATGATTCTTTATTTTGTATATAACTTAACGGGGGGTGAGAAGCCGCCAAATATGAGCAGTGGTAATTTGCATCGTTCAACCGTGTTGCTGTCCGTCAGTAATGTGGTAGTTAACCCCTTCATCTACGCATTAAAATACAAACTATTCAGAAAAGGATTAATCAAAATTTTTAGAAAACAAGACGGTTAAATCCAAAAAAAGAAGGTTTTATTAGAAATAAACCAGAGCAAGAGCGCAGACCTGTTTTGAAAGGTTGGGCGAAGGGGGAAGGGACATTCCATAAGACCACACCCAGGGGTTAATTTTTTTTGGAGGGGGTGGGGGCGCCTGCGACGCGCTCCAACCCCCGATATCACAAACATTTTTTTTTCTTTTTGGGATAATTGTTTTATAGATACTCAATTCCTTAGAAAGGTGATCATACGATTCCAACTAGCCTGGTGTGCGACGGAGTATAGTATAGTAGGCATATCGCTTCTAAATAATATATGCCTTTTTTTGTTGTAAGATCTGTAAGAGCTTTTAAGGGCGTACCATTTCAAAAAATCTTCCTATTTTAGGGGGGGGGGGGAACGACACCCTCCCAAACGCGCCCTTGCTAGTTGCTACGCACTTCGATTGGTCGTCCATTACTTTGGCACACC